GGAGGGAGGGGCAGGGCTGGGAAGCAAGCGGGGTCCAGACCCGGGCAGCGGCTGGAAGGATTTCCATAGCTCCTGGGGTGGGGCGGTAGGAGGCCAGACTGCAGGAGGGTGGCTCATTCACTCACTCATTCATTCATTCATTCATTCAGGGGTCATCCTGCTTGCTCAGAGGCTATGGGGGGTGGGTTGGACAGGAACACATAGTAAGACATATACTACAAGTACACTCCATGGTGATGGGACTTAAGAAGAAATGGAAGATTGGATTATGTTGGGATATGTGTTCAGATTTTTATTTCATGAAGAATTTTTTTAAATATATGATTTTTAAAAATATATTTAAAAGGCAGAGTTCCAGAGAGAAGGAGAGCATGAGAGAGTTTGTCCATTGGCTGGTTCACTCCCCAAATGACTTCAACAGCTGGCGGAAGCCTGGAGCTCCCTCTGGGTCTCCCACATGGCTGCAGGGACCCTGACCCCTGGGCCGTCTTCTGCTGCTTTCCCAGCTGTGTTAATAGGGAGCTGAACTGGGACTCGCAGTGGCACTCAGATGAAATGTCAGCGTTGCAGACAGTGGCTGAACTCACTGTGCCACAACACAGGACTCTGGTTTTTTAAAACATCTCTCTCTCTCTCTCTCTCTCTCTCTGATTTGTTTCTTAGACTACCAAGGAGTCTCCCAAGCTTTGCAGGTACCTGAACCCTGGACTACTAAAACCCTCACTCACATCGCCTGACTAAAAGCCCTCCACCACCTCTGGGCCTTTGGAGCAAATATCCCATCCCAGAGGCCTTCTTTCTCCCTTACACCCAGGGTAGCACAGGTACCTCCAGCCAGGGCAACGAGGCGAAGTGGGTAGAAGATGCTCACATCAGGATGGCAGCATATAAAGTCTGCATCTGTTCCCAACACACGGTGTGCACACACATGTACACGCAGTGTGCACACACACGTTAACACACATGCACACTCAGACACACTACACAGGCACACACACACATCACGCTTGTACCAATGGGGTAAGGGACTTCTTAAGGACGGTGGCTTAGAGGGACCCTGGACGCCACAGAAGGCTGAGCCATTTCCGGGGTCTGCAGGGTGGGGAGACATTCTCTTCCCAGCTCGAGACCGGAGCGTTCTGTCTGTCCCTCTCCCAATCCCCCCACCCCAGGGCGGTGGCCCCCAGCCTACCATTGCAACAGCCAGGACTGAATTCAGCTCCTTACCTCAGACCCCGACCCCCAGTCTCCCATGCACTTGTTCTAGATCGTAGGGAACAGAAAGATTCCAGAGCCAAATCCCCTCTCGGTTTCCTCCTCGCTCTTAAAATCCGGCGCCACTCGTGCTGTGCCGCCACTCCTCCGTCCCCAGCCTCTGTTTCCCCACCTGTGAACTGGGGCAAGCCCGGGAGGACCTCCAGCAAGCGGCGACCCTCAGGGATGCTGCTCCCGAAGGCGAGGGCTGCCCAAGGTTCCCAGCAGGCCACGCCCCTCACCTGTCAGGCCGCCCCGCGGGCGTTGCCGTGGCGACGCGTGTACACAGGCCAGCGGGCGCGCCGGGTGCGGGTCGCCGGCTGCAGACTCTGGTGGCCTCCGCCCCGAGCGGGCCGGCGGGTGGCCAGGGGTGAGCTTCCTCCTCCAGCCAGGTGAGTGGGGTCTGGGAAGGCGTGGCGGGCGGAGGACGGGGACTGCGCAGGGCTGGCCCCACAAGGATGGGAATAGGGAAGAGAGAGCAGGGGCTCCCCAGGGTTCCCATCCTCTTAGATCCAGGAGCACCCCACCACCACCACCAATACCCACTTCACTAAGCAAGGTTTGCACCCTGGCCCCCTGGAGATGAGTCACACAGGAGCTTGGCAACCCTCTCCAGTCTCGCCCGGGATACAGTCAAGATTAGGAGGGTCGCTCCTGGCTGCCTTGCTGTGCTTCTGACATTGGCTGTCAGAAAAGTCCCCTTGCCTGACCTCTGCTTCCCAAATGTCTGTTAGGAAGCTATGGTCCTCAGTTCAGGCTCCCACCACCTGTGGCCCGGAGGGATGGCATAGTTTAACCCATTCATTTCCTGCTCTGTTTTCAAACAGGCATCAGGCTGCACAGGGCACAGGTGGGGTGGAGAGCCAGTGCGTCTCGCAGGCCTGTAAAGCAGTGGTCTGTAACTTTTCCAAAGTGTCACTTAGTCTAGACCCCGTGGGGTGATGTGGGAGACGGCTACCATCAGAGACAGCCAGGCTGCCCAGACTGCCTCTGGGGCATTATCTTGTAGTTTCCATTATTCTGCAAGAGATGCTAGAAGGTGTCAGGTGCAGCATCCTCCAGGACCAGACATGGAGTTAGGGACCCACAGTCAGGGACCACGGAGGGTCTGACAAGTTTCCCTGCCTGCAAGCTTACGAGTGAGCCGCCTCAGCTGTCAGGTTTGGAAGCATCTGGGCCCAAGACAGAAGCAGGCAGCATGCACTGCTTTCTGGCTCCTCCTGACCCCACAGACCTCCTGACCCCACAGACGCTGGGCATACGACACCAGTCTGCATCCCAGCGAAGGGACCCCAAAACCAGGAAGACCCCATCTTTTTAAAGATTTATTCAATTTTTATTTGAGAGCCAGATTTACAGAGAAGGAGATAGAGAAAAAGAGAAATCTGTTCCATCCACTGGTTCACTCCCCAAATGGCCACCAAAGCCAGAACTGAGCCAATCCAAAGCCAGGAGCCACATGCTTCTCTTGCGTCTCTCCGGTGGATACAGGATCCCAAGGACTTGAACCATCCTCTGTTGCTTTCCCAGGCCACAGCAGCCCAGACTCAAACTGGCACCATGTGGGATGCTGACACTGCAGGCTTTAGTGTGATCAGCCACTGTGGTCCCTGCCGCCCACGTGGGGACCCAGATGGAGATCCTGAGAATGGGCTCCTGGATTCAAGGACCTCGTGTGATTGCCTGGCCCAGGTGTCACAGTGTACCCTCACCATGCTGCCTCTCCTCCTGCCCTCCCCCCTGGCAACTGTGGCAGTGGAAATCGAGCTGTGCAGGCACTCCGGACAGGGCCCCAAGCTCTCCCCAGCCTCCTGCTTCCAGGTAAACCCAGCCTGTTGGGGTCTCAGTCTCCTCCTCTGTTGAATGAGCGCAGTGTTGATGTCTGCCTCGCAGGGCTGCTCTGGGCTGAGGACACACCGTGTCTAGTATCCAGCTCTGTTCTCAGTGAGTGATGGCAGAGGTGATGAGGAGGAGTGGGGCAGCCCCCACGAGCCCACCCCTCACACCACCACGATGCCTGCGCATATCTGCAGTGCCATGACTTTACATTTCAATGGCTTTTCTGTTGAAAAGTGGAGACTGCTGTGCCTGGCACAATCGCCTAGTAACTAAATCCTCACCTTACATGCACCAGGATCCCATATGGACACCGGTCCATATCCCGGCAGCTCCATTTCCCAACCAGCTTCTTGCTTGTGGCCTGAGAAAGCAGTAGAAAATGGCCCAAAGCCTTGGGACCCTGCACCCCCATGGGCAATCTGGAAGGAGTTCCTGGCTCCTGGCTTCAGATTAGATTAGCTCCAGCCATTGTGGCCTATTATGGAATGAATCAGTGGATAGAAGATCTCTCCGTCTTCCCTTCACTATGTAAATCTGCCTTTCCAATAAAAATAAATAAACCTTAAAAAAGAAAAGAAAGGTGTAGGTTGTTGGTCCTCCCCATGTCGCTGACACAACCGCCTCCAGTCTTCTCAAGCCCCAAGATGAACTGTCATCCACATTTGACAATCTTCTGACATCACTGAAATGTTTGTTCTTTTCAATACATGTGTAGAACTGAGTTGGAAATGCCTGTAACTACAAAATGCTTGCGTGGATGGATGGCTGTGTGACAGAAGAAAAGATAGCTGACATGGGATTGCAGAATCCAGGCTGTGGATGGAGCACCCATCTCCTGCTGTCCACTTTCCCTTCTGTTTGGCATTTCTACCATAAAACATTGGGGGGAAATACGCACAGGACTCTGATGATGTGGCCAAGCTACAGTCTTGTTTCTTTGACTTAAGAAACATTTTCCCGACCTAAATATAGGAAGAGGTTTAGTGATTTAAAACAGACAGGCATCTACCGCCTGCTTCCCCTGGCCCTTTAAGATGCACCATGCACGTTTAGTATTCCTGGGAGAATGCTAAGAACCCTGGGGTGACAACAGCAATAGAAGCAAGTGGGAACTGGGCACGCTTCTAGAATCTTCACAAACGTGATCACAGTTCATCCTCACATGCCCATTGTCCAGGTGAGGAGCCTAAAAGAGAAACTAGATCACCTAGCCAGGGGCACAGGGCTGGTAAGCGGTGGGTTAGGAATGGTGAATGTGATTACTTGATATGTCAGATAACTAACCCTGTACCAAGCTTACTAGGGAAGCGGTCTGGAGTTACCAGTGAGACCCATTTTTGTTGTTGAGCAGCTTTAGTTTTTATTCATTTGTGCCCTGATTAAACTAAGAAATGTTGTCTGTTGGATTATTAGAACCACACTCTTAAGAAACAGATTTTTTTAAGCTTTATTTTACTTATTTGAAAGGCAGAGTGCCAGAGAGGGGGGAGGGGGAGAGGTTATCCGTCCCTGGTTCATTCTTTAGATGCCTACAACAGCCAGCGCCAGGCAAGGCCAAAGCCAGAATCCCATCAAGGCTTTCTGTGTGGGTTGCAAGGGACCAGGCACCTGCTCCATCTTCCACAGCCTTCCCAGTGTGTTAGCAGGAAAAAGGATCAGAAGCTGACATGGGATGCCATGTCACAATTGGCTGCTTAACCTACAACACCACAACACTGGCCCCCAGGCGGAAAAAAAAAATAGTTGTTGAAGTACACAAGACTGCCCTTGTGGCCAGGGGCAAGTCCACCTATGCATTCCACCCAATGTGGGTGTCTCCCTTTGGATGCGGCTCCCTTACAAATTGGAGAACTGCATGTTTCTAACAGAATTCATTCTGAAAACCTCGTACAGGGAAGGCGGAGAGAATGAAAGCGTATCTGAAGAGTGCAGACGGCTTTTTTGTCCTAAATAAAAGTACTACAATCGGAAAGCATGAAGACTCAGACCTCGTCCTGCAGGTAAGACTCTGCTCCCTGTCCCCACCCCTCTGCTCCCCAATCCCCAAGGAGCCCTGAGTGCACTATGGAATTGAGCTTCCATTTCTATCTTTTCTTTTTAAACACTGAGCTGTGCGTTTGAAAGGCAAAGTGACAGAGAGAGGGAGAGACCAAAAGAGATCTTGATACGCTGGTTCACTCCCCCTCATGGCTGCAAAAGGCAGAGCCAGGCTCAAGTCGAGGAGCTGGCAGATCTGTTCCCATCTGCCATGAGAGTGGCAGAGTCCAAGGACTTATGCCATTAGCTGCTTTCTCCCCAGGTGTGCAGCCACAGAGAAATGGATCTGAAATTCAGAGCCACCAAGACTTGAACTGGTACTCCAGGCTGAGGCGTGGACATTGCAACGGGCACCCTCACCCACTGCATCCCCACACCTGCCCCGTGGAGTGGACGGTCGTGTCTGGCCTTGATGCACCAAGCCCTCAGTGTCCGGTGGCTGGGTGTGCGCCATTTCCTTGGCTGAGTCATGAAGCCAGGCACGTGCAGGGCAGGTGTCCTCCATCTTTGGCTTCCTGTGTCTGGGGGTTCCAACGGTCACCCCCAGAGGGGCCTCTCCCTTTTCAAAGCCCCTGGGGACTCTTAGGGGCCCCCTGGGAGCCCACAGAGCCCAAGGCAGTGAAGGGGGCCAAGCCCCAATCTCAGCTTGACATCTTCTTCCATCTGAACCTTGGAAACGGCAGTGGTCTGGGCCAAAGCCTCATCTCATTGACAACCCAGAAAGAACAGAATATTAAAAAACTGTGGTTCAAGCCATTTTAAATATCGAAGGGGGTTAAAATAATGAAATGGAAAGAGAAAGCCTGCGGACTCTCTCCATAACTGTGAAAAGCTTCACTCAACAGACTTGTCAGATGTTTTATTTGAAAAAAAAAAAAATGATGAGTTGGCCAAAAGTTCTAAAAATAGTACTGAGTAATGGCATGCATGCCTGATGCAGTTGCCTGTGATGACAGCGATGTCAAAACCAGGAGGATGACCTTGGTACTGTGTGTGTGTGTGTGTGTGTGTGTGTGTGTGTGTGTGTGTGTGTTCGTTCTTGTGTGGTCTGGAGTCATTTCCTTTGCGGAAGTCAAGACACAGAACTGTTATAGCTTCCAGGATCATCCGAGTGGTACCCTGTGTAATCACAATGCCCCATGGCCATGTAACCCCTGGTAACCCCTGGAATGTTCTTGGTCTCGATGTTTGTGTCATGTTGAGAATGCTGCACAAATGAAGTCACGCAGTAGACCTTAGAAATGCTTATCGTTTCTTGTTTGTTTTCAGATTTACTTATATATGTGAAAGAGTTACAAAGAGAGAGGAAACAGAAAAACAGAGGGAGGTCTCCCCTTCACTGGTTTACTCCCCAAGTGACCACAATGACCAGCATGGGAGCAGGCCAAAGCTAGGTTGGAGGAACCCCCACCATGTCTCCTACATGAGTGCAAGAGGCCCAGACATGTGGGCCACTTTGTGCTGCTTTCCCAGGTGCATTAGCGTGGAGCCAGGCTGGAAGTGAAGCAGCAGGACTTGAACCAGCACTCCCATAAGGTGGTGGCATTGCCAGCAGCAGCAGCCCCCTGTGCCACAATGCCAGCCCCTACCATTTTGTTTTCATTCGTGATGTCCTTCGATCCATTCGTGGGTTGTCGAGTAGTGTTCCATGGCTGGCTGGGCCACTGTTTATTGCGTATCCATCCACATACAGGAGGACTTGGTGATTGTGTCCAGTTGGGAGCTGTTACCGCTCTGCCCTAGACGTGTGCACCTGCGTTGTCACTGCTTGCACCCAGGGAGAGGTATAAGTGCCAGCTTTTGTGGTGGGTTGGGTTTGGTGTCTAATGGAGCTGCCAGGCATGGAGAAGCAGCTTCCTGCATCCCGCCCAGCAGTGGAGGTGAGTGCAGGTCTGGTGTCAGTGTGCTGGTGTGTGCCCAAGTAGAGGAGCCCGCGGTCTTCATTGGCGTCTCTAAGGGAGCTGGTGATGCTGAGCCTCTCACGTATCCTCCGGTGGAATGTCTCCACGTCCTAGACCCATTTTCTGGTTAGACTGCTGGAATTTTTTGCAAGTCTTCTCATTGATCAGATATGTTACGGGCCAATCTTTCCTCCCAGTCTGCAGCTTCTCTTTGCATCCCCTGAACAATGTCTTTCATAGGACAAAAGCTTCAAGTAGTGAGGAGATCTGATTTGTCATTTTTCCTCTATGGATCACACATTTGGTGTCACATCTGGGAACTCCCATCAGTTCCATTGTACTGACGGTTTTCTTATGTTTTCTTGTAAGAGTTGTAATGTTTAAATCTGTGAATCGTGTGCCATGGAAAGTCTGGGTCAAGGTGTTTTTAGTTTGTTTTCGCCAGTAGATAGTAGTTACTCCAGCAGAATTTATTTTAGAAACACAGAGAGATGGTCCATCTGCTGGTTCACTCCCCAGATGGCCACAATGGCCAGAGCTGGACTGGTCAGACGCGAGGAACCAGAGCACCCAGCTCTCCCACGTGGGTACAGGGACTTGAACCATCCTCTGCTGATTTCCCAGGCCATAAAGCAAGGAGCTGAATTGCAAGTGAAACACGCAGGACTCAAATAGCACCAATATGGGATGCTGGCGCTGCAGGCAGAGGGTTGGCGTGCTGTGCCACCGCCTCTGCACACAGGCACTCTCTGTTGCATGCACCTGCTCCCTCAGCACAGGGGTCTCTGTTGCGTCCCACTGATCTGTGTGTTCTGTGGCCAGGTTAGTCATTTCTCCTTTTCTTTTTGCAATTATTTTTACTTCTCTCGTTCCCATATCTCTATGTCAGTGTGGTATCTGTACCCCATTGTCTTCCGATCTAAGAACATGCTCTTTCTTGGATTATTTAGGTCTCCCGTGACTCCTTTCATGCCTGTCTTAAAGCTGTTAGCATACATTTTTTTGTTTTAGATTTACACTTGAAAGTATTTTCCGCTGGTAATAATAATACCATATATATTTTTTTTACGTTGGTGTCTATCTGGTCATGGCAACACGTGCAGATTCAATTTATTTTTGTGTACTAACGTGAGAGCTTGCAACCTGAGCAGAAGTTTGTAGAAGGCTTTCCTTGTGTCATTTTAAAAATTCTTATACATATATAAACCAGAATGGTTCTATTTCTCCCTTTCTGATCTGTGTGTCTTTAATTTCCTTTTCTTGTGATATTGCATTGGGTGGGATTCCCAGGACTTTGGTGCCAACACTGTCAACCTTGGCATTCACCTTGATCCGGATTCCAGGGGTGGGGGAATATTCAGTCTCCTGCCCTTACATGTCATGCTGACCGTAGGCTTTGTGTAGATGCTCTACCAAATGAGAAAGTTCTTCCTCCGTCCCAGGGCTCCAACAACACTTAGCATCAGGTCCGCGTATTAAAATGGCTCAACATACTTCTGCCGGACGCTGTCACCCGTGAGGTGTGCTCCCTGCAAGGACACGGGGAAGCCTGCTCAGGCACTGTGGGAAGGAACAAGGTATCATCACTTCTTTATGTTGACAGGAGAGACAGTCCTAAGGTAGTTTTACTTCCTGTCTGGCCAAGACAGATGAGGGTCTCTGTTTTGGACCCAGCTGTGACCCCAGAAAGCTGGCCGTGAGTTGAGGGCGCAGGTCTTGGAGCCAGAGCTGCAGTATGAATCTCATTGAGGTCACTCCAGGCAAGCGGCTCCGCCACCCAAAGCCTATGCCCACCTCCTGGGGAGCTGTGAGGCTTCAAGGGTAAAAACACACAGAAAGCTCCTGCACACGGTGCCAGGGGCATGACCCCAAGATTGCTGTCAGGGCATCTCGACACAGGGATGGGAGGGTTCTGCAGGGACGCTGGGCTGAGCGCTCTGGGGCTCCCATGGTTGAACGAGCTGTTGAAAAGGGAACAGCTGAGAGCAACTCTGAGGTCAACAGATAATGGCGGGCACTTACTGTGGCCAATCAACGGACTGCTTGCTGCTCCTTGGCTTAAACAGTAACCTCTGGGTTTAGGAAGGGATCCGTGGTGTTTCCAGGCTTCCGCGGGCTCCCTGGAGAGCTGTGGGTGTGAGTAGCCAGAGGTGGGATGAGCAGACCTGTCCTCGTTGACCTGTCCGCCCAGCACAGAGGTAAGGAGCTAGCTTTCAAAAGGAGATAGCAGGAGGGGTTTTGTGGTGCTGTGGTACAGCACATTAACCCACAGCCTGTCGTGTCAGGATCCCACAGGAGCACTGGTCTGAGTGCCATGGAGCTCCCTGCTACTGCACCTGGGAGATCAGTGGGTGATGGCTTTAATGCTTGGGTCCCTGCACCCATGTGGGAGACCCGGATGGAGTTGTTGCTTCCGGCTTTGGTGTAATCCAATCCTATATTTCGTGGCCATCTGGGGAGTGATTGAGCAGACAAGATATTTCATCTACTTGTTCATTCCCCAACTGGCTGCAATAGCCATGGTTGGGCTGGACCAATCTGAAGCCAGGAGTCAGGAACTTCTTGGGGGTGCAGGGCCCCAAGCACCTGGGCCACATTCTGCTACTTTTCTAGGCTCATTAGCAGGGAACTGGGCTGGAAGTGGGGCAGCCAGGACTTGAACTGGTGCTCAAAATAAAACTTAAAAAAAATTTTTTTTAAAAAGTGGGTACACCAGTCTATTGTGAAAAATTGAGTCCTTAGGCAGCCTTGCAAGACAGAACAAGGTGAAGGTTGCCATCTGCTTCCTTCTCCGGAACTCGCTGATCAGCCTCAGAGTCACGCTGGCTCAGCTTGAGGCCACCCTGAGCAAATGCCCAGCAGGCAGTCAGCTGATCGATTGCTAATGCCCTTTGTGCCTCTAGAAGTCAATTCATTACATAAGGGCTAGGCTCGAAGCAGCCTGACCCAACACACACACACACACACACACACACACACGTGCACACCCATGCTCACACACATGCACACCCACACACACTCACAAACACTCACACGCGGTCACACCCAGCATGTAATACAGG